GTTATGTTACAGTCAAGTTCTTTCTTTTTTAAGCCTATCTTCAGCTGGACCATCCTGTTACATGTGGAAACATCAAATGCTACTCATATATTCCAATAATTATCTGAATCAAAAATTATAATTTTTTTAAATAATCTGCTTCCTTTTATTGTGCTCAAGAAAAGGTAAATGGTATTGAAGAGAATGGAAGAAAGTTCTTGAAACATTCTAATTTACATGAAAATTCACCATGAACGTTAATTGCGGCGGCGACGAAATCATCTGTGAAGCTATAATAACAATTACCTTTCCATGGAAACAAACCATAATGAAGCATGTTATGAATAAATTTAATCTCACCCAGTTTGACTGTAGAATCCAAAATCTAATTAACTCGCAGGTGATTAGGAAAAACGTCAATGTGTTTTTCCTGCTTCTATCATGCTATGTACTTTTTCTTATGGTTATCTATTTTTAATATCCATCTTTCACCAGCTGAAATTCAGAAGTCCTGACATGTATGATTGAAGTATGTCAAGCATTAAGGTTTGATTGTCAATTTGCTCTTCATTACTTGTAAACAGCTTATTTCTGGCAGATTTGAAAATTTCTGTAAGCTACCAGCAACAGGTTTTTCCATTGCAAGTGTTTCATAAGATCATATTTTAATTATCTGCTTTCTTTAACTGTGCTCCAGAAATAGTAAATGGTATTGAAGAAAAATGAAGAAAGTTCTTGAAACATTCTAATTTACATGAAAATTCTTTATCAACGTTAACTGCGACGGCGACGAAATCATCCGTGAAGCTATAATAACAATTAAATTTCCATGCAGACAACCATAATGAAGCATGTTATGAATAAATTTCATCTCACCCAGTTTGAATGTAGAATCCAAAATCTAATTAACTTGCAGGTGATTAGGAAAAACGTCAATGTGTTTTTCTTGCTTCTATCATTCTAAATAACACATATTAATCACTCCACCACGTCAGTTTTTTTTTTTTTTGACGATACGTACTTTTTTTCTTATGGTCATCTATTTTTAGTATCCATCTTTTACCAGCTGACATCTGTGAAGAATCAAGTCCTGATATGTATGAGTGAAGCATGTCGAGCATTAAGGTATGATTGTCGATTCGCTCTTCATTACCTGCAAACAGCTTATTTCTGGCAGCTTTGAAAATTTCTGCAAGCCATCACTAACAGGTTTTTCCATTGTAAGTGTTCATAAGATCAGATGTTCATCACATAGTTTTTTACATTTGAAAGCTTAAGTATAGGTTAATGAATACAGTATACTTAAATCAATGAATACAATAAAATTAAATCAAACTCCTGAAATTAAGTTGACAACATGATTCAGAAATGCGTAATAACTCTTAACAAGAATGAAAAAGCAATGCCATTTATGAATTTTAAAAAAGCAAATGCCAAAAACTTAAAGATGAAATGGAAAAAACTGCTAAAATATGGCATTTGTATTTACTGAGATTTTAAATATTAGATAGCATATACAGAGATATAAAAGAGGCTTTGTAAAAGAAAAACCAGGGCAAGAAGCACATGACATTGACTAGTTCACTGACACCTGCTCACCTGAATTCAATCCGTAAAAAGAACTCTGTAACATGTTTTATCTTCTCACACTTAAATTAAAACATAAAATATAATTATTTTCAGGCAGGTCTGGGAGTAAATTAAAGGCATGGATATATTTTACCTATAAATTAAAGAAACACATGACAATTAAATGGAGCAGAAGCATATTACCTACATGTCTATGCTTCTGAATACAGCTATGATAGGAATTTGTTTACGCCATTGTCTTCACGTGTAAACCGAGTGCAATAGACGGTCGTAAAAGCAATTTTACGACCCATGAAGGGTGCCCTGTGTATCAAATATATCAGGTTCAGTGCCTCCAGATTCATAAGCCGGGCTTGTGGGGCAAAAAAATAATCAAATAATCAACAAATTTTGCCAGGCCAATTTATCAAGAATCAACCGTAAATTAAGTATAATTTCCTAAAATAGTATGGGGAAATTTAAAATGTGCTTTTCTTTAAATTCCGAGGGTGTGACTCAATAAATTCAAAAGAAAATAACCAAGCAAGCTACAGAAATGGTTCTCGAATTGTAAACTGATAATGCGTTCACAAAACTTCCCGAAATATGCTTTAATGATAGTGCTGATACGAATTTATGGGGGTGTTGCAAAACTACGGATCAGAAGACCGTGGAACCTCCGAAACCTGCGGAACCCTTTATTTTTTGTCAAAGAATAATAATGAAATAAAATATTAAACTAAAAAGACCTTAACACTGTTTGAAAGTTGCTTAGGGTTAGGTTTTCGGGTATAAAGAAGATTACTTTACAAGAAAAATATATTTTAATTATCCTTGACGACCAACTTTAACTGTGGCGACACATACCGCGCAAGGGTATATAGAGTCATAAGGAGCAACGAGCAGTCACCTACCCCGAGTGTTAATAATTGAACTATAATTTGAAAGCTCCAACGTTTTGTGTACCGCGATATGCTAGTAACAGATCATCAAGAGGCTCCTAGAAAACATGGTGGCCTCTAATTCCGTTTTATCGTACATGACGCTGGAGTGAGGAACACGAGCGTAAAGTAACATCATCGTCTGTGATGTCATATTGTTTTTTTGTTTATTTCGTGTACGCGTTAATTACCCGCGAGTGTTTTTACTTTTAATTGGTTATGTAGTTGTGATTGATGTTTATACAGTTGGATGCGTGATGCTACGTAATTATGTCAAATAATTTGTCAGATTTTGTGGATAAATTTAGTCCTGTGGATGAATTTTTATGTCCACTTATATTTAATTTTTTAAATAAATGATGAACACAATTTCGGGGCGATCGGGGCGTCCGGACTTGCGAATTCATAGCGTTTTGCCTGCAGTGGATTCGTTTGGTTGACTCACAGACATATCTTAGAGAGGATAAGTTAGAGGTCTGCTGATCTGCAGTTTAGAAACATCTAATCTATCGTTCATAATCACTAATGAAATTCCGAGACTGTAACTCAATGACTTCAACAGAAAATATCTAGGAAGATTTCAAAAACGGACTCGTGAATTTCAAAACGTACTCTTCAATTCGAAATCTGTGTGCAAAAATTATTTATGCTAACCATATGCTTACCAGCGTGCTTGTGAGCTCAAATGGCCAGGGCCCGTACCAATACACGATCACAGCTCGGACGCTTGTTGCAAAATGGGCTGACTATCAATTTCAGAGATTGATTCTTCAGTTTCTAGCATTAAGAAAAAACTATCGTATCGCAAGCAATGTTCATCATAACCCGAGCATTAAGTTTACCTCGAGATGTTGTGCGAAGAGAACTGAATTAGCTCATGTTTTGTGCGACAAACCATTTCCTGAAGTTCGAACGAATCGAAGCCACTTTCTAATTAACGATTTTGTAAAGTATGAACACACTCACCACCTAATTTGTTGCAAAAAAATTCACATGAAAAGTAGAAGGGTAGTATTAATTGTTAAAAGAAATTAATCATTTCAAAAGTCAATTTTTTCCATTCTCATATCGAAGAGTTACCAAAATTGTTGATAGAATTCTCGATGAGAGTAAGGATACTCAAACGAAAAAACAACTTTTTCAAAGTAAAACGAATTAACTCTTCTCTAGGATGCTTATTAAGTATCATGTAAAAAGTTAATGGAAATCATCAAAATAGCTAAGCTGATTTTTTTAACCGATCCCATCCTGGTCATATAGCATCAATATGAAAGGAAATTAGTTTATTTTTGTATTATGAAAGGAGTCACTTTTATGCAGAAAAAAATATGAAAAGGACTCAAATGAAAATAGTAAATATAATGTGATATCATATAAAGAAAAGTCATTTTCCTTATATCAATGATGATAGCATTTTAAAATCACTAGAGATCCCTGCAATCTGATTGGCTCTCATAGGCGTGATAACTTTAAAGGATGGATTAATTATGAGGATGTTATTAAAACTTTATTAATACTGCATATTATGGTACTGATTGCACTATATCCTCATAGAAAGGAACAAGCCGCATTCTCATTAACCATTATGTAAAGTACGAAGACACTTACAAGCTGGTTTGTTCCACAAAATCCACATGAAAAGTAAGAGGATAGCATTAATTGTTCAAAGAAAGTAATCATCTCAAAAGTTAATTTTATTCATTCGCATAACAAAGAGTTAGCAGAATATAATTCTCGATAAAAGTAAGAATACTCAATCGAAAAAACAACCTTTTCAAAGTAAACTGAATTCACCCGAACAATATTTTTTGATCAACCGTACTGTCGAGGGTTAATCGATCGTTTAACTGACTGTCTGACCGACTAACTAACGAGACAACGGACAGGCTAACTGGTTGGCTGGCAGGCAGTTGAACCAACTGACTAGCGACCGTATATCTAACTGACAGGATAACTGGCCGACTTACGGACTGGTTTTCCGACTAGCTGGCTAGTTTACCGACTGGCTGAGTGACTGATTGACTAGCTGACAAGCCTGGCTGGTCGACTGATTGACAAACTTACAAGCCTGGCTGGTCGACTGACTGGCTGGCCGACAAGCCTGTCTGGCCTACTGATTGACGAACTGACTGACGAGCCAAGCTGGCTCATTGAATGCCCGGCAGACGGTTCACCATGAACCTTGAAGAAACAGAGACAATGGCAGTGACAGTTACTATGAAGTGACGGTGACAAACGCAGAGACAAAGACAGAGACAATGCCAAAAAAGAAGACCTGAAGCGGACTAAGCGGACGTTAGCATTCTGCTATGTGCAGTTTTTCATTTATTTATTTATTTCGTTTGCCATTTCTCAACTGGGAGATCTTGGTCCTTTCTTTATTTTTATTGTAGAGCATTGGGATCGCCTGTTTGCCAAAGTTGTTTTGAGTTTCCAAATGAGACAGATCACTGACAATGGTTTGGTCTCATAACCACAGCCGAAATTGCGATAATTATCATACATTCCTCCACTAACTCCACTTGGTGAATCTCAAGCAGGGTTTTCATTCTGGAAAGAGAAAAAACAATTTTCAAGTTAGTTTTCTCATTATTACTCAATACACACTCCCAGTTCTTTTTCCTCTCACTCTGTTATATATAGCCGGGGTCAATGCTTATATCTCACGAGAAATTCACATGTTACTTCTTATTGTTACTTGTGCAGCAAACAGGCCACAGAGCAGCTTTCAATTGAGCGTCTAAAACCCAAAACTATAGTAATCGCAACTAACCAATTAAGGAAAAGGTTACTATTATCATCAACCAATGAGAACTCTAAGTGACAAAAGGCAACCTGCTTGAGGTGCGGTTAAAAGCGAGTGATCGAGTTGGGGTTGATGTTAGGTTTGCATCTGATTGGTTGAGATGGTGGCACGAGTTTTTTTTTGGACCAATCAAGGAGCGAAGTAAAGCAAAACCCCATGCAATTCAGGATCACTAAAAACGTTTCTAATCTCAAACAATTGATGTCTAATTGAGAGTAATCGTTTTCTTTTCTCTATGTCACCTGACCTGAACAAGCTTTTGATTTGATTTCTTCGATCGTTCCTTTAAGTTTGTCGAAGTCGTCCACCTCAACCACTGAGCCTCCACCTGCAATCTGCCTCAGGGTTTCCTTTTGCACGTTTTTGCCAATTCCCACGGCCACTGTACTAACGTCCTTTTCCTGTTGTTGAGAGGTGAGCGAAAATAATTGGCGAGATTATTGTGAACTTTCGGATACAATGTCCAGAATATGATTAGAATATACTTATTGTACTCGGGTTGCGAAATGAACTTGACATTTGACTCCTACCCCCACCCCCCCACCGCCCCTAAAATGAGTAGTTTAAGTTTTGATTGATGGACAATATCTTTTAAGAAGCATACTCTCCCCAGACTCATGAGGCCGAATTTGCATATGGAATCTCCATATAATTCGTTCCTTTGCTACGTATATCCACGAGTAAAAATTGACATCTGGCGCCAGCTGATGTAGGAGATGGGGTGGTATTTACTTTATGACATAAATGGGGAGCACGAAAAATCGACAGACCAACGACCTGCCTTTAGCCTACACGTACTACCATAGTAAATTTCCTCTATACGACTGAAATTAATAATGATTGACACTTCCAGTGAATAATAACTCACTTTAAATTTTTTTGCTAGTTTCTTAGCAAATTCC